CAAGTATCATATATTTTCTTCTTGATGTAATGTGTTGCAAAAAGCAAATAAACCACTATCATCTCCAGACCATCTAGATATTCTACTAAGTATGTGTACGAAGCTTTCTTAAGGTATTGTAGACAAAGCAACATTAAAGTATATTAAAACAAAAAGGCATATAATAATAGTCACGACATGACTGTAGTACTCTATTACCACAGTCGTGTCGTCACAACACCGGGTGGCGCCCTCTGTACGTTGGTTATTAGGTTACCGTTCATTACGCCTGAATTTATTTATTTTATTTATTTTTTTTTTTGAATAGGCTTTCTGGAATAGGCATTTTAAATAATTTATTTACTCTGGTCTGGTAGTAACTGTAAAATAAAGTTCTCCTAATATCTTTTCATGAAAGAACATTTTAAGTCACCATCATCCTAATTATAATCATTATAAAACCTTTCCTCATAATAATCGCTATATCCTCGTCGCACACGTGCCTGGTTGTTGGTAGACTGACATGTAACGCCTCCTATCGATTGGGAAATCATAGAAGTAAGCTGTTTATTCCCTGAAAAAGAATATAGGAACGGACTCGATTTGCTATCATCAACATGCTTAAAACCTCTTCCTGTTGGATGGCCAATCATTTTGTTAGCTTCCTTTATAATTCCATTTGCATCAAACAAAGCTGCAGTTGGTTGAGGTGCACTTTTTAGGCTGTTAATGAACATCATTACATTCTGTAGTTGAACGATTTTCTCCTCTTTTGCTTTTTTCTCCTCCTCCATATTTTGCAAATCAACCGTAGAACGTTTGGTCAAATCAGTCAGTAACTTCTCTTTAGCATCATCAACCATCTTATGAAGCCTCTCAGCGTGGAGGCGCACATCCTGTGTACATTTGGTTATGGACTGTTTCTTTGCTTCTGTGTTTTGAACATGCCGCACTAATATGCCTTTCAATTCTGATTCCTTAGTTGAACACTGAGTAAGTATTTTGTCGGCATCTTTTCTGAACTGTTCAAGTGCTGTATCCAGCTCCTGCAAATTGTGCCCTTTATGACTGACAACGGTGCACTCTATACAAACAGGTAATGAACAGGTACCACAATAGAATCTAACAGCAACGTCGGCATGTTTTGGGCACATAACTGGTTTAGCTGCAGCGCGTTCCTGTGCACCCATGGATTGATACTGCTCCAGAGGCATGACGGTATGCCTTCGGCAAGATGGTAATTTGAAATGGTTTTTTGCACACTGTTTACAGAGGAAAGTTGAGCACTCCATGCAGTGGTCAGTGGAATTTTTGTTACACATAGCACAATAGTTAACCTCCTGTGAACAGCTACGTGCATTCGCGGTATATTCAAGTAGCTGATTTATAAAGTAACTTGACGGCAACGCATCGAGTCCTTTATCTGGTATCTTACATTCTCGGCGGCACATTGGGCATGATAATATACCTTTGTTGGTCTTCATCCAGCCTTTAATGCACTTCAAGCAAAACGAGTGCTGGCAGCCGAGTGTCTTGGGAGTCTGGAACCTCTCGTGACATATGGAACACAGAAGAACCTTTTCGTTGATGTCACTGATCACTTTAGCAGCCATTGTTTTCTTTCGATTACTGATATAGGTCTACACTCTTCTTGGATTTGTATTTGATAACTACGATCTTCTAAAAAGAGAACATCATTAAGATTATCTTCAGTTTCAGTTTATTTTATTCAAATCAAAATCATAGACAAGGCTAAATTATATGATATTTACAAAAAATGTAGGCAAATATTAAAACATCAATCATACACAAGCACCAGACATGAAAAATAGAGATACAGATACACTTGGAGATAAAAGTAACATTAAAATACATTAACATTTGAAACATCAGAAGTACACAACAGGTTTAAAATACATATACTGTATGTAATAATATCAATTTATTCAATTATATTTATTGAATCATTATTATAATAGTATTATTATTATTATTATTATTATTATTATTATTATTATTATTTATATATATACAGTATACTGTTTTTTATTTGTTGATACAGTATTGTGTTTACGGTGCTGCAC